CTTAACCACGCATTTCTGTCTTCATTAATTGATAGATTAAATGATGACCCTAATCTCGCTGAGCTCATTCACGGTGAGGATGAAAGAAAAATAAAGATGAATTACCTGTATTATAAGCTCCAAAAGGGAAGGGACAACATTTCTTTCACTGCCTGGTCACTTCTCCCAGGAGTGACAGTAAGTGGCCCGCCCCGTCATAGATGGCAGACAGCTCCCGGTGACAGGCACATCGAGGCCCCAGATGCGAGCCTCCAGGTGGTCAAGGCTCTTCTGGGCAAACCAAGGAGTTTTAAAAAGATTCTGAGGAACAGAGGGCGCCCACTCCTTTGGTCTTTTTTATCCCAACTCAACCGCGAACGGCCCGGCTCCCTTCGGCGAAATGCAGGACTCTGGGGAGCCAGCCTGGCCTTGCACAGACCTCGCACGCCGGGCTGGGTGCGGAAGGCTCCTCTCCCAACTCCCTCTGGGAGGAGTCAGGGCCTCCTGGGGATGGGTGAGGGGATAAACGGTGCTCACTTCCTGGAGCAGAGCGGCTGGGGTGGGGGAAGGGCTGCTGACCTCCGGATCCACGCCAGTCCCAGGGTCGGCCGGGACTTCCCTCACAGAACTTTCAGGGCTGCCTCCCCTACATCCTATACCTCCTAGAATCGGGGTGTAATGATCACTAGGCACTACTTTAATTATCACTACCTACACAAAGTACCCAGTTCCAAAGGTGCCTCTTTCATGCTCCCTTCCCGAATTGGAGTCAACTCAAAAGTGCAGAGGTCCCCCGCACTCTGCCTCCGCCCGCGAACCCCACAACGCACCTGGAGGGCGGGTCAGACTCTCAGTACTAGTGGGGACAGCGGTGGCGGGCCAGAAAATGGATTCGCTCACCAACCTGGAATGTGTGGCCTGGGTCAGAGCCGAGGATTTACAGCTAATGCCGCGTCCAGCAGAGCGGACAGACTCGTGGCAAAGGGGCGGGGCGAGGGGGGAGGAGAGGATGCGCATAGGGCCGGTTGGTCCCGCGCCGCGCAGGGTCCTGCGCTCCAGGGTGTGGTCGCCGGGCCCACCCAGCTGCCGGGGAGCTGTTCCGCTTACCTGATGAGCGGCAAGTTCTGAGGCCCTGGGGAGCCCCTGAAGGCCAGGGAGGGCGCGTGTAAATCGTCTTCGCTTTAGCTTTCAGAACTCATGTCGGTGTCAATAATACTGAGAATACACATTTGTACTCCACGTTAAACTATCAGTTAAAACGTCCGAATGAAGGTATCTAAAGTTATACGAGTGAGTAAAGATAACCGCTTGGCATCACAATGGTATGTTTTGCAAAAAGATCGTTAAACTTCATTAGTCTAAAATTACGAATGTAATTTAAATATTACAGGTGTCAAAATGACACCTGTAATTTTAACCTGTGTAAACTGCGAGACTGTAAAAGTTTGTTCTTATGGCCTTAGGAATACATACAAAGCTTATAAAGCCCCAGGAACTGTAACTTAAGGGTGTCAATAGCACAGCAACTCTGACAAGAAAAGGAAGGCTGAACTTCCGGTCCCAAGCAAACTGACCTGGTCTGGAAGGTGAGTGGAGGGAGAAGGGTGTCCAGATAAAAATTTGAAGAGAGAGCTGGGTGATGTAGCATATTTTCAGGTTTCATCTATGTTGTAACCTGAGTATTTTATTCCTTTGATGGCTGAATAATACTCAACTGTATGGATTTTTGGCATTTTGCTTATCCACGCATCAGTTTTTAGACATTTGGATTTTTACTGTTTGGCTATTTCGAATAATGCGGCTATGAATTCTCTTGTACAAGTTGTTTTTTTGTTGGGTTTTTTTTTTTTTTTGGAAACATGGTCTTTATTTCTCTTGCCCAAGAATAGAATTACTGGATTATGTATTTACTTTTTGGGGGGATATTCCAGACTGTTTTCCACAGTAATTATACTATTTTGCATTCCCACCAGCAGTAAAGAAGGGTTCAATTTCTCCACATCTTTACCAATACTTGTCATTATGTATCTTTTCTATTATAGTTATCTTATTGAGAGTAAATTGGTATCTCATCAATATTTTAATTTGCATGTCTCTTTAGCATCTTTTCATATAATTTATTATCCATTTGCATATCTGCTTTTGAGAAATGTCTGTTCAAAATTTTTACCCAGTTTTAATTGGGTAATTAAATTTTAATTTGTCTTTTTCTTATTAATTAAGAGATCTTTATATATTTTAGATATAAGTCCTTTACAAGTTCTGTTATTTGTAAATATCTTCTCCCGTTGTATGAGTTGTCTTTTCATTTTCTAAACAGCATCCTTTGAAGAACAAGTTTTTAATTGTGATGAAATTCAATCTTTTTGTTATTTGTATTTTTGATGTTGTATCTATGAAGGCCTTGCCTAATCCAAAGGCATAAAGATTTACTCCCATATTTTTTTCTAAAAGTTTTATAGTTTAACTCTTACACTTAGGTCTATGATCTAAGTTTATTTTTATTGTGTGAGATAGAATTTCAGTCTTATTCTTTTGCATGTGTGTATTCTTTTGCTCCAGGACGATATTCTTTCCCTGTTGAATTGTTTTGACATTGCTGGGAAACCACTAAGGAGTTTTAATGAGGTAGGGGTGTGTGTGTGTGTGTGTGTGTGTATGTTTGAGAGAGAGAGAGACAGAGACAGACAGGAAGATAGGAAGAGGCAGGTGGTGGAGAATGACATGTTCTGAATATCTAAATGTTATCTAAGAAAAGATCACCTGGCAGCATTGAGCAGGCTGAAGAGGCCTGGAGGTGACAAAAAGTGCCTAAATCCAGAGGAGTAAATGTCTAGCTATTGCTGTAGTATGGAGGAGAAAGTGTTCGACTAGGTGCTACTGAGTGTGGATAGAAGAGAGTGAATTTATGAATAATTGGTGTTCTCTTCATGAAGCTTTTCTGTGCTTTCTCCCCAAGCTTGGATCACACATTAAACCTGCAAAGTTCCCTACATTTCTCCACCCAACACCAGCCAACTACTGAAGTCTGGCAGGGGAGGTGTAACTCTCTGAAGGGATGGTGAAGGCTGCCTGTCTTCACTTGCCTCTACCTGCAAATGCTGAGAAAGACAGAAAGTAAGGAAAGCTTCTGGAAGTGGGAAGTATCTTGAAGGGACAGGAGAGGCCAGAAAATCTCCTACAGAGCCGAATTTAAATACATTCAGTCATTCCAAGTCCAGAACACTACAGCACCAATCAGAAAGCAGGAAGAGAAAGAAATGTGCCTCCTAAGTTAGGAAGAACTGTGTCAGGGTTCTAAAGAACAGCAGTGACAAAGGGCTTTGAAATAACAACGGAAGCCAGTAGATGGTGATATTGAGGTCCCAGCCTCGGTGATCGTTTCTTTTCCTCCACAGTTTAAAACAAAGAAAACATGCCTACATCCCACATATTAAAAATAATTAACTAGGAGAATGGAATCGAAGCATAATTGAAGTGTGGTTAAGAGTGAGTGAAGCAGTGACTAATTTCGGTTTTATTGCTTGCTCCCCCCGCCTATATTAATGTTACTAAGTCCATATTGTTTCTGGGATCCATATATTTTTTGTAAGCACTTAAAAATTCTAGAGTCTAAAATTGAGTATTGAAGGCAGAAAAGAGCATGGGAAAACTTGACTACCTTGTGGAGAATAGGTGAAGTCCATCTTGTTCAAAAGGAGCATGGAATGTTGGGGTGATGCCCGAGGAATCAAAAAAGATCTCCCCTGCTCCAGAGAAGATCAGCACCTCCCC